CATTGCACCACCACAGCTCACTTCCAAAAGATTTGGATGGAGTACAGTAGAAGGGTGAAGGTCTATTCATTCAATATTACATTATATTACATTAAAGCATGATAAAAATCATTTGATCAGCAAGAAACATTGTGAAATACAAAGCATGCAGGGCATGTTTGAGTCCATCCCCTTTTATTTGGAAATGAGCTCCCTAGGATATAGCAGGACTTACTACTAAATAAATGTACCTACAACTATCTTCAGAATTAGTGCAATTAGAGAGAGTAATGCTAATTCTACTTCACATGTTGAGAAATAGATTGTCAAAGAAGGTGGGCTTTTTGCTTGTTTATTTTTTTTACCTTAATGATATTCCATTATATAGGAATTAAAACCAATCATTTAAATTAAGCATTACAATTGGAGTATAATTACTAGTTTGGATGTGCACATCATTAATACAGCATAAATGTTTCTGTTCATGAAATTAACTCTTAGTGATTTTTAATTGCAAGAGAGAACAGATTGAGTTACTTCCTTCTTTAATTACATTGGTGCCAATAATCAAATAACCTTCATACTGGGATTACATGGCAGTTCCTGGAAAGAGCAACAAAGGGTCGTAAAAGAGTCTTTTGTGTTAGTTGTCAGTCAAAGGAGTATCTGGCCATCTGAGCTGTGAACCAATATTCCTCTCAGATTGCCCCTTTATGCTAGTTAGCAATTCAATTGCATTCAGAGAGCTGAAAGGTTTAGTGAAAAAAGTTACCTGTTCTTGAATCACTCTTTTTGTAACACTTTCCTTTTCACAAAGCCAACTTGTAATTCAAGCTGAAGGGATTCTCTGGTGTCTCTTCTGTTCCCATGCTTTAGCTGAGAATCTTTTTTGTTTGCCAGTGTAACAGGGCAAATGAGGACACATGATTAACCAACACTATTATCCATATGTTCTCTCTAATATTACAGAGAACATGCTAATGAGATCTTTTCTATCAGACTTTAACAGATAGAATGAAGTATTTGCCACTGCACTATACAACAACTACAGGAGTGGGTTCTAAAAAATTTTACTACCAGTTCTGTGGGCGTGGCTTATTTTGTGGGTGTGGTTTGATGGTCATGTGACAATTATTTAGGATTTAGCAGAGGTACTGGTCTACCAGGCTTTTAACTGCTTGCAGAGCTGTACCGATCTACCCATTTATTTTTTGCAGGCACTGGTCTACCCATTTATTTTTGCAGGCACTGATCTACTCATGTATTTTTGCAGGCACTGGTCTATTCATTTGTTTTCTTTTAACACTGATCAGCTGTAGGGCGGCCCTTTGAAGCCCCGCGCCAAGAGTTTAAACAGTTTTTTTCCCTCTAGCCATCAGCTGGGACTCAGGAGGCAGCAATAGATTGGGGGTGGGGCCAAATAAAAAGTAAGAATAACGCAGGGGGTGGGGGGGCGGGGGGACGGGGGGCGTGGGAGCGGGGGGCGGGCGGGAAGAACTGGTTCGGTGATGTCATATTGTCACCGCTACTGGCTTGGGAGAACCAGGCCGAACCAGGAGGAACCCACCACTGAACAACTAGACCAATTCCGCCTCTTACATTTCTAGTTCTTTCTCTTTCCTTTAGAAAGTGAATTATTTTTGGCTTCATGTGCCCTTACATAATGGTGTTTGATATTTTCCTCACTACCCTGTATGCTCTTGTTTTTTCCTCTAACAAGTCTCACTGAGCTTTGCATTGAAGTAAAATCATGAATGAGCACACTAGAAGTTGGCTTCTTCTAAAGGCAACATTATATTTAAAATTAATGGCATGTGTATGACTGAGACATTTCAATTTTCTTCCCGTTTTAAGAATGAATATTTAGATTGTATATGTTGTTATGTTTTGTTCCTGTCTATTGTTGTTCTATTCTTTTTGTCTGTTATTTTTTTCTCTTAGCGATTTTACTTGTGAACTGGCCAGTCACTGGAACATAGGCAGCATGCAGATTTTAAAAATAATTATGTTTTGCCTGTGCTTAATCAATGCAGAGTTCATAATAGTAAGAGGTGGGTGAAATATATGTTTAATTAATCTCAATAATCATAATTTTAATATATTTTAAATCTTTGCAGAAGTACCTAAAACCAGCAGTAGTGCTATATTCTACTGAATGATACTTCTGTTGACGCATAATATTGATGTCATTTAGAAAAGGCATTTGTCCTAATTGTGTAGCTATCTCAGTGGTGGGTTTCACTTACCTTTGCTACCGGTTCGCACATGTGCGCTCGCTTCGCTCGTATGCACGCTACTTCTGCTCATGCACAGAACGTATTTGATGACGTCTGGGGGGGTGGGGGGTGGGCAGAGCTTCCCACTGCCGCTACTACTGGTTCACCCGAACTGGTAGCAACCCACCACTGGGCTATGTCATTGGGAAGTTAAGCCAAGATTAGCAGTTAAGTGTGACATTTCAACTTTGTTATTTTCATAGTTGGAAATTTTTTGAGTTTCTAGAGAGGCTTTGAGGAGAAGCAATTTTGTCGGGCTAACTTTTTTTTTTTTTTTAACAAATAGGCTTGTGAAGATGCCATCTGTCAATGTTATAGATGGTTTAGGGCCTCCCAACACTGCTGAGCAGGCATGAAGCCACAAACAAATGCTGCATTGGTTTATTGTTCTATATATCATACCTGTATAATAGGTAATGGGAGGAGATGTTCTGTGCACGGAACAACTACTTTTGGACAATCAGAGTATGGAGTGAAATCTCTGTGCTGCTTATGGTTTGCTCTTTACAGAATCTGCTTTGGAAGGAATCTGAAAATGAAATGAAAGTTATTTGCCATTCTGTTTTCATTCTTCTAAGTCAATGTTGTCTCTTGCAACTGGAATGTTAAACCATGTTCTGTTTTCAGTTCCCCTGTCTGGGCCAACTGAGACCAATCATGGCCTTTCTGCTAGTAGCTTAGGCCAGGTGTGACTGTAGCTTTGTGATCTAAAGGGGTTTTTTGAGCAAGCATCAGACATGGCGGGAATAGACAGGACAGCGGGAGACACTATAGAAGAACTGCTGAGGGAGAAAGATGGAAAAGATAGAATCGTGAGTCAGCTACTGTGAAAGATCCCTCTTAGCTGAGTTGCAAATTCATAGCAAACAATTATAAATGTCTGATTATTTGTTTGTCTGCAAACTGTCAGTGTGTCATCTTGAAATACCATCTGTTGGAATGTAAACTCTACTGATGTGAATTGGTTGACAACTAATCCTGTCTCCATAATTTACCATGGAAAAGTACCAATGATATAAAGTGAGAGGTTGTAATTCTCCTTACTCTCAAGAGAACAAGAGTCTGTGGCATTTATTTCATATACTCGGTTATAGAGAAATGAACACGTCATATGAAGAAGCAAGGAATCAAAAATTAAGCCTGAAGCCAACCAGATTTTGTCCAGTTAACTGCCATACTTCAGTATCACTTGGGCCTTGACCAAGTAAAAACCTGAATTTCTTTAAGTCAAGGTAGGCAATGCATCAAGTATTAGAAATCCAATCCAAAGCCTGTATATACAGAGTTTGTTCATGGATTTCCCTTTATTAAAAAAACCAAAAAACTATCTAATTCTGTTCAGAATCATCTTTATAAAATTTGATTCTATAAAGAGACTGGGAAAAACAATCAATTTGGTGTTTTCTCTATACGAAAGAGATCATGTTGATCATTCTTTGGATAATATATGTGAGCCCGATAATCTGGTTATAATATGGGAGTGCCATTTACCTATCACTTTAACAATTACATTTTGGATTATTTGTGAGTTCAAAGCCATGTGAATAATTCACTGACTGAAAGCATAAAATTGTCTTTCCTACTGCTCAAAGGAAGATGAAATTCCAGCTTAATTTTTTTCTAAGTTTAGTCTTAATAGTCCATGTTTTTCCCTTGCCCCACTTTAAAGGCGCTATCACTGTTATTACAAGGAACATTTTCACAGAAGAAACAAGAAACATTTTTTTCAGCAGTGTATATTATTATTATTATTATTATTATTATTATTATTATTATTATTATTATTATTATTTATTAAATTTTTATACCGCCCTTCTCCCAAAGGACTTAGGGCGGTGTACCGCCAAGATAAAAAACCAACAATATAAAAGTTAAAAACAATTTAAAATTATTAAATAGTTTGGCCAATAATCTAAAATAAAATAACATGCAGAATGAGAAAGAGAAAAGTCATGAGTAATGTGCATACTGTATGAAGTCCTGGTTGAACTCAAAGTTGGTGAGATCACGACTCTTGAGCATGGTAGTAGGAGATAGCTATTGAGCACAAAAGTAGGGAATCGAGATAGCCTGGTTACTATTTTCAAAACAAGGGGAATGATTTCTGAAAGCTGAAATGGTGAACAGGGGTGCCTCATCGTTCTGCAAGGAGAAGATAATTTTTAAAGGTAAGGGAGCCTTCAGAATTGTTGTTTCTTTGCAGAGAGCAAAGAAAGGCTCACTTTAATTGGAGAGGAACAAGTCCCTGGCATGCTGTCCGTAGTGCAATGTTTTTATTCTTGTTTGCTCTTAGATAGTTTTCAGTTATTTGGTTTCTAAGCAAGATTTTCTGCTACATTTAAGAATGAAAACAAGTAAGATTCCATTTTGCAAAAAAAGAAAAGAGAGAAAGAGAGAGAGAGAGAGAGAAAGGGAGAGAGAGAGAAAGGGAGAGAGAGAGAAAAAGAAAGAAAAGAATTTCTTTAAAAGAAGAAAACTCTCTGTTTAAAGTTTAATGTTCCAGAAGTTCATTGTCAAAGTATCAAAGATTAAGTCAATAGTTCTGTGTTGGTACAGCTGCTTATAAACTGTTTCCTGTGACCCAGATTGGTACAAAAAGTAGGCACTGCAGTAGAGTACTTTTAGCATCTTATTCCTTTTTGATTGCAACCCAGAGTGAAGTGAGAGGAAGTGGTCTCCCAGTTGAAGATTTATGAGACTTTGTCTCTAGTAGAGAAAGTGTGCTTCAGAATTTCCCAGGCTTCATTTCAAATGCAAGAAGAGATAACAGAAGCCCCCCTAAAAGGTATTTGCCTTTAAGCCCGGCATCTCTCTATTACTCTGCAGACCATGGCCTCTAGCATGAAGAATTTCATCCACTCTTTGGATCCAAAATCCCTACCTCGAATTCTGCAAATCCAGTCTGGCTTTTATGATGAAGGTAAGGTTTGGACCAAATTATCTATCTGTGCATAATAATGCAGTTTCAGCATTTATCTGAAGTTGAATATTGTAAGAAGAGCATTATGTCATTACTAGTGGGAACCCTTATATCAATAGGTGATAGTGAATATATTAAAATAATCTATGCCATATTTAGGCTCCAGCTGACTAGACTATGGTTGTTCAACACAGTTGAGACACTTGACTAATGACAATTGTCACAGTTCCCACCCTCAAGTACAGAAAATTAAGTGTAAATTTTCACTGAACCATGAAGGGTAATCTGAACACATGTTAACTCAAGTGTCATCAAAATGGATGGCATATATGAGGCTAGAAAAAAATGGAAGTGTTTGAAATAGACCAGCAGAAATGTGCTGGGTCCAGATAGTGTTTGATTCACACCGAAGTGGTAATACCAATAGTGTGAACTTTAGCTGTAACTCAGAATATTTTACACTCTGTATATTTTTTGTACCATAATTCATATTTTGTCTCTGTTCCATTTTCTATTGTATTATTTTTCAGTGTCGCTTGAAAGTATCTTAAATAGAAAGGAAAAGTAAATGATGGAATGAGAGACAGAGCGATGAGAACGGATTAAATTAAAAATGTTTGAATAAAACAAAATAAAAAAGGAAGGATGTTTGAGGAGGATGCTTTCGTGATGCTTCCAGATGACATTTATGACTCAATCCCATCAACTTTAAATCATGAGACGGGTGGCATCTAAATTTAATTATAAATCAACTTCTTCATAGCGTTCGCTATAATATCTAGAGAATGTCAGTGATCATTTATAACCTTCCAGGGTTTGCCTCTGATTTTTCCTCTTTTTTTCCCCCCCTTGGGAAAAAGTATATTCAGAAAAGTCCAATGAAATAGTTATAAAATAATTGTGCATTTGTAGTCTTGGGGTTCCTTCCTTCTACAAGGATTGCTTAATGAGCGTATATATGGACATGTAGCGCATAAGAATTAGATATAGTATAATTCAGGAACTGACATGTAGAAAAGTCATAAATAAATTATCAAAGCATTACGTGAAATTTAGCAATAAATCTGGCTTTGGCCTAATCTACTGAAAGAAGTGTGAAAGTCTGGGAATAGATTTGTGCCATTGATAGATACTGTACGTAGAGGAGGAAAAAAATCCCTGGATCTCCATTCAATATCTGGAGATGCATTCATGAAAACAACACTGTCAATAACTTTTTAGCACCTGTTATTAATACTTCTGAGCTAAATGCAACTAGTTGATTAAAAAAATAGTAGTTCTGCTCACAATTAATTCATTTTGTCTATCCTATGCTTATTTTAACCTGGCTCTCTTTAGCCGAACTGGGTCTGACACTACCCTAATTCCCAGCTGAATCTGGGAATGATATTGCAAATGATATTGCAATGATATTGCAAAATCCCCATTCCCCCACCCCCCACTCCAGGGGAATGATGTATGTATGTATGTATGTATGTATGTATGTATGTATGTATGTATTTATTTATTTATTTATTTATTTATTTATTTATATTTAAATTTATATACCGCCCTTCTCAGGACTCAGGGCAGTGAACAGCCAAAAGTAAAAAACATAGAATACAAAGTTTAAAAACAATTTTAAAATATATTAAACAATTTGGCCCAACAATTAAAATACCCCATTTAAAATTAAAATTAAAATTAAACAATTGGAGAGTTAGGCCAGCCCGGCTTGTTGAAATAAAAAAGTTTTGAGGGCCCAGCGGAAAGTACGCAAATCCGGAATCATCCGTATCTCCAGGGGGAGCTCATTCCAGAGGGCAGGTGCTCCCACAGAGAAAGCTCTCCCCCTGGGGGCCGCCAGTTGACATTGTTTGGCCAACGGCACCCCAAGGAGCCCCTCTCTGTGGGAGCGTACTGGCCGGTGGGAGGCTCTTGGTGGCAAAAGGCGGTCTCGTAAATGTTGCAAAATCTCCATTCCTACCCTGTTCCAGGGGAATGATATTGCAAAATCTCCATTCCCATCCCACTCTAGGGCCAGCCAGAGGTGGAATTTGCCAATTCTCCGAACTGCTCTAAATTTCTGCTACCAGTTCTCCAGAATCTGTCAGAACCTGCTGGATTTCACCCCTGCTTCAGGCCAACTCCTGTAGGGGATACCTAGTTAGGGGACTCTGGTCCTTTTCTGAGTCCTTTAAAGAAGGAATCAAGCAAGGGCTGAAACCTTAATCACAGTAATATTATTGGATGGGAAGGGTTTGGGAGTCCACAGTGTTACAGATTCTATGGCTATGTTGATGAGAGTAACTGGAGAAAGTTCTTCAGTCCCGGAGTGTCAGCTTTTCAAGGTATGCCAGGTCATCACAGGAAGACTCCTTTGCAAGTACTGTAGTCCTCGACTTACAACCATTTCTTTAGTGACTGTTCAGAGTTACAAATGGCACTGAAAAGTGACTTATGACAATTTTTCACACAGCATCCCCATGGTCACATGATCAGAATTTGGATGCTTGGCAACTGGTTCATATTTATGATGGTTGCAGTGTCCCAGGGTCATATGATCGCCTTTTGTGACCTTCTGACAAGGCAACGTACAATGGGGAAGTCAGATTCAACTTGTGCTACTAACTTAACAACTACTGTGATTCACTTAACAACTTTAGCAAGAGAAGTTGTAAAATGGGGCAAAATCACTTAACTACTGCCTCCCTTAGCAGCAGAAAGTTTGGGTTCAATTGTGGTCATAAGTCGAGGACTAACTGTATTGTTGGAAAGCAGAATCATAGAGACTCAACAGCTTGCTACAGAGTTTTCCTCTGCCTCCTGGTGTTATTTTGATTCTCTCTCTCTCTCTCTCTCTCTCTCTCTCTCTCTCTCTCTCTCTCTCCCTCCCTCCCTCCCTCCCTCCCTCCCTCCCTCTCCCTTTTTCCAGAAGTGGGTTATCATTTATTTTCCCTCAGTGTTGTCTGCTTACTTATATCATGTATATCTACATTGCACTAGGCAATGTGCCAAAACCTCATCTGATCAGCAACACAAGAAAACTGAAAAGTAGCAGATGTGAAATAAAGCAGCTATAGTCTTGGGAATGCTTTTGGATGAAATTAAACAAGCATATCTCTATGGTGCTGTTTGTTTCTTTGTTTGATTGATTGGTTGATTATATGCCATCAAATCAGTGTTGATTCTTAGCAACCGCATAGATAGATTTTCTCCCTGACGATCTGTCTATAACTTGGTCTTTCAGGTGTCCTAACTGTATGCTCATCACCACTGTGGCTGAGTTACATCACTACCTTGCTGCTGTTTGTCCTTTTCTTCTCTTTCCTTCCACCTTCAGAGCATTACAGTTTTTTTTTTCCCCCAGAGAGTAAGATCTTTGCATAAGCTGTCTGAAGTAGAATAATTTGAGTCTGGTCATTTGGACCTCAAGTGAGAACTCTGGGTTAATTTATTCAATGATTTGTTTGTTTGTTTGTTTGTTTGTTTGTTTGTTTGTTTGTTTGTTTTTTTAGCTATCTAAGTTATCCTCAGGAGTCTTCTCCAATACCAAACTTCAAAAACATCACTATTCTTCCTATCCTGCTTCTTCAAAGTCCAACATTACTTTCCACAAAGTGTCACAACACAGAATGTCACGGAGGGTACCATGACCTGCACTATTCTGATCTTTGTAGGTATAGACACATCAAAGCATCTGGATATCTTTTCCAAGATCTTTATGTCTGCTCTACCATGGGTTTGTTTGTGACATACTTCTTACCTGTTTGCCTGTTTACAATAGATGGTACAAGCTATCCATCGTTTTAATAACTTCATTGCCACTTCTAAGGCTGTTTGTTCTACTTGGTGTTATTGGTTTGTTACTATGAGCACAACTATTATACGCACAAACTATTCTGTTTGGAATTCCACAAAGCACACTAAAATGAAGAGAAGCCTCAGAAATCATAATGCATAACTTATTTTGTCATCCTCAATAGCAGTTCAATAGGAGATGGAGACCAGAAAGAGACCTATGAAAAGATCAATCTACAAAGAGTTGCTCTCTCTCTCTCTCTCTCTCTCTCTCTCTCTCTCTCTCTCTCCCTCCCTCCCTCCCTCTCTCTCTTTCTCTCTCTCTCTCTTTCCCTCTCTGTCTCCCTCCCTCCCTCCCTCTCTGTCCCAAAATCTTTTGGATCATTTGGCAGGGTTTTTTAATTAAAAAAAAAATATCTCAGGGTAGAAAAGATATAGAATTTGATTGACTTTAAGATGAAACAAAGAGGTAGAAAATTTTTAGCACTTTGTTCTACTCTAGTAGCAGTCCCAACTCTGATTGGCTATGTCTACTGGACTGGCAAGAGCTGTTCCATAATTGTTTGCAAAATGGGGTTTATGTGTAGATGGTATAGATTTTAATAGCCTGTAAAAATAACCTTGGGAGATAAGGAGGAGAGCCACAGCCTAGGTAATGGTCAGACAAAAGAGATCTGAGTCCCTGGAGGAATAGCAGCATGGAAAACATCTCAGAAGGGATCCTCCATAACTCTCTGGAAAGGAAAAGCAGAGGAAGGGGAGAAGTCTTTCACACTTTCAAGATTCTGTTACTGTAATCTTATAGTCAGGGTGGTATTTATGGGTTTGGTTTCCTGTCTGAACTACTACAAGGAGCTGACACAGATTGAGAAGGCATTTATTTTGAATCATTTTTTTTTTTTAAGAATTCAGAGATTCTCTAACGTTGCAACACTCCAATCCTTAAAATGCTCAATGGATGCAATTTCCTCCTCTCACAAAGAAAAAATAAATAAATAAAAAATTAAGATGCCATTGTTGGTGGACCTCTTTGACCAATGGCTAGACCTATGAGTTTAGTTATCTCTCAAAGGGTGCTTGGAGCTTTGCCACCCCACTTCACCTGCACAAACCTACTGTAGGGGTGTCCAGGCAAATTGGAAGGAGTTTCAATGGTGTTTCAGGTTTACCTGAGTGGGAAACCACAAAATACACATCTCAGGGCTTATTTTAGGCTTGTCTAAGGAAAGCAAGAGTTAATTCTAAGTGCTACAGGTTCTCTCAAACCTCATTCTGGGCTTTGTAAAATAAATGGCTATATTCTGTTAAGTTGCTTACAACTCTCCTCCCTCTTTCATGCTACAATTGGAATATAATCTTTTCTAGCAGGACATCCTTCAGCTCTAAAAGAGATAATTGATTGAAAGGGTTATGTTCTAAGGGTTGTGACATCAAAATCCCCCCAAATCAACCTATTAGACCAGTGGTGTCAAACTTGATTTTATTGAGGGTTGCATCAGGGTTGTGTTAGACCTTGGGGGCGGGCATGATCAGGGTGGGCATGGCCAGCTTGATGTCACTCATTCCGGGGGTCCCTGTGGTGGCCTGAGCACTCTGCCAGCAAAAACAGAGCTCGGAAGGACCACACACGGCCCTTCTGTGCTTCGTTTTCACTGGGAGAGGCACTGTGGGCCGGTCCTTTGCTATTTCCAGGGTGGCTCTGTGTGCCAGGTATAAGCACCCCGTGGGCTGGATCTGGCCCAAAGGCCTTGAATTTGATACCCTGTATTAGAATCATTTAGCAACTGCCTCAGTCAGTGACCATTAGAAATTGTGATGGGGATGAAGAAGTAACTTTGCAACCACTCTCTGTGTCACATACTTGCCATTACAGTCCGTTAATACACATTTATCCTATTCCTGACCCATTTTTTCTTCTCCCCTTGCAGAACAGAGTTCTTGCCTAAACAAGCTGTCTCTTCCTAAGTTGCTTTTCTCCACAGTGCAACACTTCCCTAAAAAGTATTAACTGCAAGTTAACATGCTCAGTTTTGTAACCTTAATAAGTTGATTAGAATCCTCTGGCAGGCTTGGAGCTATAAGAATGCTAGGCAAACAGCTGGCCTAGTGCATTCCTTTTGATATATATTCCCGATTGTGTGACTGCTTACTCTTGTCATCCCTTCCTCTCCAATGAATGTAATATAAACATTTTTGCTAATTATCTCAGTCCCGGGTGAGCATTCTAAAGAACAAAGAAGTGGTGAAAAATAGCTGTAAGATTTTTCCTTTTACCCAGCTTCCTCACAAGTCACGAGCTCCCCCCAGAGATACGGAGGATCCCGGATCTGCGCACCTTCTGTCGCGCGCTTGAGACCTTTTTATTTCATCAAGCTGGCCTGGCCTATATCTTCTCCCCTTTTTAAATGTAAATTTTAATTTGTTTTTAAATTATGGGGTATTTTAAATTCAGCCAAATTATTTAATTCGTTTTTAATTTATTTTAAATTTTTGTATTTATGTGTTTTATCTTGTTCACCGCCCTGAGTCCTTCGGGAGAAGGGCGGTATAGAAATTTTAAAAAATAATAATAATAAAAAAGTCACATTTTGGAAACCTTTCCCTCCGTTTAGGCTCACCTGGCTGTTTGGGAGTCATATCCCTCTGATGCTGTAAATCGAGGGTCTCCAAACTTGGTCACTTTAAGACTTACGGACTTCTTCAGGAATTCTGGGGAATTTTGGGAATTTTGGGAGTTGAAGTCCGTAAGTCTTAAAGTGTCCAAGTTTGGTGACCCCTGCTGTAAATAAATAATTAAAGCTGAAGTAAAACCTTAAGCGTAGTTGTGGTTAAGATTTTTAACCACATGTTTTAACCACATATGACTTTTCCATTTAGTGACTGCTTTGTTTAACAACTGAATCAACTGAATTATCAACCAGTACCACTTCTGGGCACTAAATGAGGAGTAGCTGTAGTTTCCATAGCTTTTTTTTTTTTTAATTGTAATCAGAAAGGCTAAGGCTAAAGCCCCCATAACTGACTTGCAAAGATCTAGACTACCACTGTGAAGTAACCAAGAGTTTGGTTTTTGTACTACTTTGCTGCCGTTGCAGATTTTGGCATCCCAAGAAGCTTGTTCTGATTTTCCCATTGCTTCTCATAGCCAAAACACCTGATACCATTTCAGGGATTGGTTCATTCAAATGCTGAATATCCTAGATCAGTTCAGGTTTTGTTCCATCAAACCATGAGCAATTTACAATAAATCTTTTTGAAGACAACATTTGTTTCCAATTAGAAATAAACAAGAAAACAATTTTCATTTTTCTCTCCCCTGCTAAGTATTTGATAATCAATACTGAAGAAATGAATAAATACGGTGATTCATTTAAGCATAAATATAATTTTAAAGAACAATGTCCTTTAAAAATGTATCTAATTTACTGAAACTCTCCTCTAAGAAATCAAATATATGTTGATATTGAATAAGCTAAGGATTTTATATGCCAATTAATTTCAAGGAAATGAATTTGTATTCCCCACCTTATAAAGGTATTCCTTTTAAAAATATATAAAGTAGCAATTTTATTGACAATTGAATTTTTGGTTGACTTAAGGTTGTTAAATAGGGACATGTTTTCTCTGAGAAATGTGGATATGTCAAGGACTATGTATTCAGATTTAAATCCCAAGATCTCTAAAATGTATAAAGAAACAAAGAAATTGAAACAGAAAAGTTCTGTATTATTTAAGATTGGGGGGTGGGGAAGGAGAAGCAATCTTGAAATCAACTGAAACTCCCATTTGTAAGCAGCATCAGAACTGTTTCAATAACAACACTCATTATTTGGTTGTTTTTAAAATTATCCTCTTATTTGGGTTCTTCTTTTAAAGTGGCCTATAGTTTTTGGTGCTTTCAAATCAGTGTTGACTCCTGGCAGCTGCCTGCACAAGTGCCTGCAGTTTTCTTGGTAGCATTTTCAGATGTGGATTGCCATTGCCTCCTTTCAGGGGCTGAAAGAGAGTGACTGGCCCAAGATCACTCAGCTGGGTTCATGCCTAAGGGAAGACTAGAACTCACATCTCCCAGTTTCTAGCCAGATGCCTTAACTACTGTGCCATGTTGCCATCACGTGACGTGACGTATCGTGCCATTTTTCCCCTTTGGGGAGCTGGGGTTGGCACAGCCCGAGTGTGATACATCCGGCCCATGCGCCGCCAGTTTGACACACCTATGTTAGAATGACTGCTAAAGGTTTTTTCAATTAGCCATAAACAATTTGAAAACATTAGATGCTAGCAGCGCTGTTGATTCACAAAATTACATACAAAGTTCTGGCAACAAATTAAACAAATAGTTTCTGCACAAATTGTGGAAGAGAAGATTTGCTTCTTTCAGAAGCTGCCATGCCCCTTTAGAAGCAGATGAAGGGGTAAGTTAGCAAGTCTTAAAATAATTATCTTGGTTTTCACTTGATATTTACACTCAGACTCATAGATAGTATCTAACCTGTGCATTAACAGTGAAAATATATTGCTTCTCAAAGATGAAACAGTAGAATGTATAGAACTCTATTTTAATGCTGCTAATAAAATCAGTAAAATTCTTTTATCTTCACATTATCTCTTAGGTTCGATGTATGAAAAGCTTGGCCATGAATGTTGCTTGTCCACAGGTGATGTGATTAAAGTTGTTGCATTAGAAATAAAAAAAATCTTTGCAAACAATCTAGGAAGTGAAGATGTAAGCATACAGTCCACTACAGCAGAACTACCTCTAAATTTTCCAGGTACAGTGCAATATTTTTCTCCTTTGATGAGAAAGCTAGTAAGCAGAGACAAAGAGCATAAAATAGTTTTGAAGTAGTTTTTTTCCTGGTGTCCTATCTTCTTCTCCTAAATTAACCTCTGTGATACATAGCAGTCATCCTTATATAAAAGATGAACAGTTGTGGGCCAAAAAAGAAAAAAGAAAGAAATCCTAAATCCCAGGTCAATACCAACAATTTATGTCATTACATTTTACAGATAGATACTGTAGAAAGAGCAATGCATTTTCCACAGCATACAATTCCCTCCATAAATGCTAGGATATCAAAAGTTATACTTCAATCACAGAACCAAATTAATTTTCACTTCCTGGTTCTCTAAATTTCTCGCTAAACCTTTTCATTTCATTTCATTTCATTTCATTTGATTTATATACCGCCCTACTCCCGAAGGACTCAGGGCGGTGAACAGGCACAAGATAAAACACATAGAATACAAAAATTTAAGAGCAGAAGTAAAATCGATTAAATCAATTTAGGCCAAGACAAATTTAAAACCCCAGGTTAAGAACAAATTAAAATTTACATTAAAATTTACATTAAAAAGAGAATGGGAGAGGTTAGGCCAGACGAGCCTGGTGAAATAAAAAGGTCTTGAGAGCGCGGCAGAAGGTGCGTAGATCTGGGATCCTCCGTATCTCTGGGGGGATCTCGTTCCAGATAGTAGGTGCCCCCACAGAGAAGGCTCTCCCCCTGGGGGCCACCAGCCGACATTGTTTGGCCAATGGCACCCGAAGGAGTTCCTCTCTGTGAGAGCGTACCGGCCAGTGGGAGGCCGTTTCCGGCAGCAGGTGGTCCCGTAAATAACCAGGCCCTAAGCCATGGAGCGTTCTAAAGGTGGTAACCAAAACCTTGAAGCGCACTTGGAAGACCACCGGGAGCCAGTGCGGCTCGCGCAGAAGAGGTGTTACATGGGAGCACCACGTCGCTCCCATAACCACCCGCGCAGCCGTACTGTGCACCAGTTGGAGCCTCCGGGTGCTCCTCAAACCTTCTTCTAAAGCAGCATGCTGGTTGGGGAATTCTAGGAGTTGAAATCCATAGTCTTAAAGTTGCTAAGGTTGGAAACTTTAAGCTTTAGGGAAAAAAGAAAAGGGAAATAAGGAAAACATTTTCCAAATATATATAGGTGCTCTTCCCTCTATCCCTCCATCACCTTATTCTAACAAAACAGTTCCCATGGCTCTGATTAAGATGGAAATAAAAACACCTTTCAGGGATTTCCTTTGCAGAACTTTTTACTTCTTATTATTCCACAACTATAATTATAACTAGATGACCCAAATCCTGCCGTGCCTAAATACAAAACTCATTTGTATAGCTCCCACTCACTACAGTCACCATTCATCAAATACAGGTAATCCTCAATTTAAGACCAGTCACTTAACAACCATTCAGATTTACAACAGATCTCTCCAGAGCTACCTAAGTACCATTTTCAGAGTTATGATGGCCACGCAGAGAGTCACAGGATCATATTTTGGGCGCTTGGCAACTTGGTTCACTTTTATGGCTGATTACAATGATCCGCGATCACGTGACAGTGATTTGTGATGGGTTTTTTTTTACCAGTTTTCAGCATTTAGTTCCAGTTTCCAGCAAAAAAAAATAGAAATGCCCATTGGGGAAAATGGATTTGATTAGCAACCATCATAAATAAACTTTGTAAGTTTGAATCCTGTCACATGATACCTCAATTTACAACCACAACAACTTGCAACTGAATTTCTGGGCTCAATTACATCTGAAAGTCAAGTTTCTTGTTCCAGAATCCTGACCAATAGCTCCAACAAAGACTTCCTGCTATCTCTTTCCTCAGAGAGAGGAAACTCTGATCTTGACTTCTTCCTGGAAAAAGAATTCTTTCTAGCTACTCAAAAGTTAAGCTATGACAATATAGAGCCAGCTGAACGGGGGCAATCTAATAGTATTATATGCCTGCATTTTCTATAAGGTGATGTTTAAGAAGCTTGCTAAATAGTCCTAAAGAGGGGGAGATGGGTCAGAAACAGCAACATGGAAAGAGTGGTCCTGCCCACTGTGGGCTGCATCTGTAGCTTCAGCCCTACTCACAACTGGCTTCGGACCTCATTATAATTGGCATTCTATGTCTTGAAATTATTTAAGAGCCAGTTCGATAGAGCAGCTAGTTTGGAAATCAGAAGAATGTGAGTTGTAGTTTTGCACTAGGCATAAAAAGAAGTAGCAGAGTGACTTCACATCAGTCCCTCTCTTTCCACCCAACTCACTTAACAGGGCTGTTGTCATTTTGTTGTTGTGACAATTGAAGAAGGAAAGAGGACTAGATTCAGAGGTGGTATTCAGCAGGTTCTGACTAGTTCTGGAGAACCGGTAGCGGAAATTTTGAGTAGTTTGGAGAACCGGTAAATACCGCCTCTGGCTGCCCCCTCCCCATCTATTCTCTGCCTCCCGAGTCCCAGCTGATCAGGAGGAAATGGGGATTTTACAGTATCCTTCCCCTGCCACGCCCACCAAGCCATGCCACACCCACAAGCCACACCACGCCCACCAAGCCACGCCCACAGAACCGATAGTACAAAATTTTGAATCCCAGCACTGACTAGATTGCATTCACTGCCTCAAATTGCACATGAAAAGAGGTGGGATTAAAAATATTTTAGAAAAAAAAGTAAAGGGGAAACCTTGTCTCCAAATCAAAGATTAATTGTTGTAGACATTCATGTTCAAAAGTCATATGGCACAATATTCTGAAAATGAAGTAGCTTAACTACGTGGGGGATAACATTTCAATTATTAATTTGGCAAATGAACATGAGCAAATGTCACGATAATAGGTATCCTCATAGCATGTCCAAATGTGCACACACATATAAATTTACCTATATGTATTTTTATTTTTTTATTTTACAAAAATATTGCCATCCCTTTCTAGTTTAATATAAATTTCCTGAACTCATGGAACTGTAAATATAAGACCGTCTTCTGCCACCGGTAGCCTCCCATCGACCAATACGCTCCCACAGAGAGGGCCTCCTCAGGGTGCCATCGGCCAGACAATGCCGGCTGGTGGCCCCCAGGGGGAGAGCATTCTCTGTGGGAGAACGTACCCTCTGGAATGAGTTGCCCCCAGAGATACGGCGGATCCCTGGCCTTCGTGCTTTCCGAACTGCCCTAAAGACGTTTTTGTTTCATCAAGCTGGGCTGGCCTGACCTACTCTTTTTAAAAAGAATTGTTTTAAAAAATTAGGGGTTTTAATATAGGGTTTTTAACTATGGGCCAAATTGATTTAATTGGATTTTAATATTGTTTTAAATTTTGTATCTGTGTATTTTATTTGCTGGCTGTTCACCGCCCTGAGTCCCTCGGGAGAGGGGGCGGTATATAAATATAATAAACTAAACTAACTAAACTAAACTGTAAATATAAAATGAATGTTCAGTAATATTTGATGTTTGCATAATGTTTAACATTTTTTTCCCCCAATTTGAAAATTGCCTTTGAAGGACTTTGTAAGGTAGTGGCTGATAAAACCCCATACGACAACGTTAAAGAAATTGTAAACAAAGTTTGGATTGGGCCAACACAGCAGGAACAACCATGCTTCTGTTGCTCTAAGGATATCCAGGTAGAAAACCTGACAATCAAACAGGGGGAGAAAATTGTATTTATGTCTGTAGAAGATCACAATGCGACCCTGACCGTGAATTGTGAAATCAAGAGGAATGGCCAGGTACACACCTTTCTTTTGCCACATTCTCAAGAAGGAGATTTCTATGAATGGCAAGATGACCAAATATACACCCTGGAAGAGATTGCCAAATGGAAAATCCCAAAGAGCCGCACACGGAAAGTTCTGTTCCTTAATACTGGCGATGCTGGATACTCTCCTGAACTTCTGCCTAAGAATTTTGGGAGCTGTGGAATTCTAGAAGCTATATATGAAGTTCATGCTGTGATGAAATGTAAGTTAATAAATCAGAAACACAAAAGTGTTTCAAAAAGAAAACAAAAGAAAAGAAACTCAATAATTTGAACAGGTTAATAAAGCTCAAGAGTAAATGATTTAGATCTAGTCTAATTCAATCTCATGTCATGTTTTATCCTAAGATTTGAAATAACTTTTTTTTTTTGGCTATTGATATTATGGGCCACAATGTGCATGATTGTGCATAGCATGTACTTTTTATCCCCACATTTAGGGCAGACTGAAAATGAGATGGGTACAGTTTAAAAGTTCCCATTGTTCTGGAGATGTAATTTTCTGCTTGAATGAACAGAGATGCATCCACTTTGGTAAATCTTTTTTACCGCTTTAGGAAGAGATAACAGCAAGGCTCTTCCTCTCTCTTTTTCTCTTCCTCTCTGTTCTGCTTTCTTTGGATTGGAGGATTCTTAGTTTTCCCCTTCAGCCTCCTTTCTTCAGAAGGAATGTGTTTATAGAATAGAATAACAGAGTTCAAGGGACCTTGGAGGTCTTCTAGTCCAACCCTCTGCTTAGGCAGGAAACCCTACACCACTTCAGACAAATGGTTATCCAATATCTTCTTTAAAACTTCCAGAGTTGGAGCATTTGCAACTTCTGGAGGCAAGTTGTTCCACTGACTAATTGTTCTAACTGTCAAGAAATTTCTTCTTAGTTCTAAATTGCTTCTCTCCTTGATTAGCTTCCACCCATTGCTTCTTATCCTGCCTTCAGTGCTTTGGGGAATAGCTTGACTCCCTCTTCTTTGTGGCAGCCCCTAAGTGATCCCATAGACTTGATCTGCCTATCTATAGCACTAGCAATAGCACTTACACTTATATAATGCTTTACAGTGCTTTACAGCCCTCTCTAAGCTGTTTACACAGTCAGCCTATTGCCCCTAACAATCTGGGTTCTTATTTTACCGACCTCGGAAGGATGAAAGGCTGAGCCAACCCTGAACCTGGTCAGATGCAAACTGCCAAATGGCAATCAGCCAGCAGGCAGCAGAAGTAACCTGCAGTACTGCACTCTAACCACTGCGCCACCGAGGCTCATGAGCCACCACGGCTCCTCCCATACCTGTTCTCCCAACAGTGTACTCATTGCCACTGAACTCTCTTCCCAGCTTTCCCAGCATTGGAGCCTGTTCCAGGTCTTGCATATCTACTGTTGGAGTTTTCCTTCTACAAGGATTGCCTAATGAACATATAGACACATAGCAAATAAGGATCAGATGCAGTATAATTCAGGAACTGACCTGTAGAAGAGTCATAAATAAGTGATCAAAGTGTTGCATTATATTTAGTAATAAAGCTGGCTTTGGCCTGGTCAACTGAAAGAAGTGTGCATCTGGAAATAGACTTGCACCATTGCTAGACATGTACAGGCAAAAAAAATCAGATGGCCGGCATCAGATGTATGCGTGCTGTAGCTGAGCTAGGGCAATGCTCGCGTGCCCACAGATATGGCTCTGCGTGCCACCTGTGGCACGCATGCCATAGATTCGCCATCACGGTTCTATTGTATTTCACCTTTAATTGCAATTAGGATTGCCTAATGAACATATGGACACATAGCAAATAAGGATCAGATGCAGTATAATTCAGGAACTGACCTGTAGAAGAGTCATAAATAAGTGATCAAAGTGTTGCATTATATTTATAATAAAGCTGGCTTTGGCCTGGTCAACTGAAAGAAGTGTGCATCTGGAAATAGACTTGCACCATTGCTAGACATGTACAGGCAAAAAAAACCTTCTTGGTCTCCACTCAATACCTGCAGATGCAGTCATGAAAAAGTAATGCTAATGTGGCTGGTTGATTCCAAAGAAGTCCAATCAACTCAGCCTGTCTATCCTATGCATATTTTAACCTGGCTCTCTCTAACTGAGCTGGGACTCTGATTCCTTGATTCTTGACTGAATAGGCATAATAAGAGCTCCAAGTGAACACCTGTACAGGATGCCTAGGTAGGAGGCTCTGATCCTTTTCTGAACCTTTTAAATAAGGAATGGAGGAAGGAATGGAACCTTAACAGTAGAATAATAGTCATATTAATAGCTGACTTTGTATAAATATACAAAAGGATGAAGGCTATTGCTTAGCGCATTGTAAGCCGCCCTGAGTCTCCGGAGAAGGGCGGCATATAAATCAATTTTTTTTAAAAAAAAAAATATTATTGAATGGGGAAGATGTCGTACTGACACAGCTTTTGGTATTCTATATTTAGGATGATGACAGTAACTGGAGACAGTTCTTCAGTTCCAGAGCATCAGCCTTTCAAGGTGTGCCAGGACATCACAGGAATTCTACCCTGTTTCCCCCAAAATAAGACATCCCCTGATAATAAGCCCAATTGGGCTTTTGAGCACATGGCAATAAGGCCAAGCGCTTATTTCAGGGTTCAAAAAAATCTAAGACAGGGTCTTATTTTCAGGGAAACACGGTATTTTATTGATGGAAGGCAGATTAACAAAGTCTGGAAAGCCTGTCAGTTTCCCCTGGGTTTATTTTGAGCTCTCCCTTTCACTCTCTTTCTGGAATGGGACAACTCACCACAGCTAACTCACCATGGCCAACTCAACCTAGCCAACTCATCATGTCTAACTCGCCACTGGACAATTTACCATGGGACAATCGCTGCAGGACAATTTAACAATTCAATTCAAATATTTAAAATAAATAAAGATTTATTTTAATTTTTGTGATTCACACTTCATTCTGTCCCTCCTTTTTCATCCTTTCATTAATGATTCTATTCTACCATTTCTTTGATATGAATGTAATTCTTATCCCTCAGCAAGTTGCCCCACAACATATTGGCTGTGGTGAATTGTCCCATGGTGAGTTGGCCATTGCAAGTTGGCTGTGGTGAGTTGACCACAGCAAATTGTCATAGGCCCCTCTGCCTCTCCCTCCCTTTCCCAGGCCTGAATTGTCTTTTACTTTGTCTCAGTGATGTCTGAATGGTTACATCTTGGTCAGTGGTGAAATGTAAAATTTGTTACTACCGGTCCCCTCTGGTGGGGGAGGGGGGGTAATGTGATTGGGTGGGCATGGCCAACTTTTTTTTTTTTTTACTTTTAAAAGCATTTTTTCTATAACCTTAAGAGATTGCAGAAAAAAATGCTTTTAAAAGCCTTTGACAATCAGGCAACTCAGCTGGGATCATCAGAGGCTTTTAAAGACATTTTTTTCTACAACCTCTTTGGCTGAAGAGGTTGTAAAAAATGCTTTTAAAAGCCTCTGACGATCCTAGCTGAGCTGCGTGATCATCAGAGGCCTTTTTTTTAACTTTTAAAAGCATTTTTTCAGCCGAAGAGTTTGTAGAAAAAATGCTTTTAAAAGTTTTTTAAAAAGGCTCTGATGATTGCACGGCTCAGCTGGGTATGTGGGGGGGTGCAGGGATTTTTGCTACCTGTTCTCTGAACCACCCGCCACCATCGCTACTGGATCAGGTGATCCGGTCCGAACCAGGAGCATTTCACCCCTGATCTTGGTTATATCCACATTCTGCTAAAACAGAGAACTAAAATATCAGCAATGTAATAAAGCTGAAAAGCAGCAGGTATAAAATGAAGCGGCTGTGGTTTTGGGAATGCTTTTTGATAGCATTAAATAATCATACCTATGGTACTATTTGATGGATTGGTTGATTATGTGCCATCAAGTCAGTGCCAACTCTTAGCAACCACATTGATAGGGTTTTTCAAATGATAAACTGTCTCTAACTTGATTTTTCTTCTAATGGTGTACTGTATCTTACTGCTGGTCATCCGCTTCTCTTTTCTTCCACCTTTTCCAGCATTAGAGCCTTTTTCAAATATGTTAGGTCTTGGCATAATCCTGCATACATGCCAAATGTGAGCATTGTCATTTGTGCCTTAAATGAGGACTCGGTTAATTTGTTCAATGATCCATCAATTTATAGTACCATGTAGTTTATTTAAATGGTACTTGTCCCTTTGGATCCTAAGCATCTTTCACTAGATATATGCATTGGGATATGTTCTACTTACACACATATGCTTTACTAAATTCAAAGACCCAGTGAATGAACTGGGAAATTCCAACTGGAATTATCTCAACTTTTTGTCTGAAGTCCTCACAACATAGCTAATGCAGACAAGAAAGAACATTTTTACTGGAGGTTAGTAAAGACCTTCCTAATAATAAGAGCAGTTCAACAATTAAACAAATCACCCAATGTTATTCCTTGGATATGTTGAAGAAAGCTTTAATTTTGATTTTGGTGTTCAGTAAGGGATTGGACTTGAGGACCTAAATGGCTATTTTCAAATGAAAATAGGGCTTGACTACAAGGGCTAATCGACTAAAAAAACCAAAACACTTTATTCTGTCATCTAAAGCTATTATGCCAAAGCTAAGTATAAAGTTTGATAAATACTTCTATTGCACACCAATGAGGTAGTAATCTGATTTTCTGACAACTGTAGTTCAGGCTACAGATGATGGTGGAGGAAGGGGGAGAGGTGCAGTTGTGGATTTCAAAATTTTTTACTACTGGTTCTGTGGGTGTGGCTTGGTGGGCGTGGCTTGGTGGGCATGGCAGGGGAAGAATACTGTAAAATCTCCATTCCCTCCCCAATCCATGGGAAGGTTACTGCAAAATCTCAATCCCCCCCCCCCCCGATCAGCTGAGACTTGGGAGGCAGAGAATAGATGGGGGCAGGGGCAGTCAGCATTTTTACTACTGGTTCTCTGAACTACTCAAAATTTCTGCCACCGGTTCTCCAGAACTGGTCAGAACCTACTGAAACCCACCTCTGGAGAGGTGTCATAGTAGTGTAGCAATGGTGGTGACGGTGACATAAATGAATGCTCCCAATTAAAAACAAAACAAAACAACAAAATCAAAAAGCTTCAATGAGAGGGACACTAGTCTAGCCTTCTTTCTGACAAGTTGAGAAACAACAGAGTATGCTTCTGTGATAAATAACAAATTAGGGTAGGGTAGGGTAGAGTAGATTAGGGCAGGGGTGTCAAACTTGTTCATTGAGGGCCGCATCAGGGTTGTGTTTGACCGCAGGGGGCCGGGATGGGCATAGCCAGGGTGGCCATGGCCAGTTCAATCTCACTCATGTCAGGCATGCCTGTGGTGGCCTGAGTGCTCTGACAGTGAAAACTTTATTCAAACTTTGAGCTTTGTTTTCAGCTGTGATGGCCTCCTGTAACTCTCTGCCAGTGAAAATGGAGCTTGGGAGGGCTGCACACAGCCCTCCAAGCTCTGTTTTCACTGGCAGAGGCACCGTGGGCTGGTCCTTCGCTGTTTCCAAATTGACTCCGTGTGCCAGATTTAAGCACCCCACAGGCCGGATCCAGCCCGCAGCCCTTGAGTTTTACACCTCTGTGTTAGGGTATGTAACTCAGGGTTCAAGTCTATTAATTGTTTAATAGACCTTCAAGTTTTATATCTTCAGAGACCTCTCCAATTTTCCCTGGTGCTTGTCCCTTTACAGATTTTGGGTTCCTCCTTGCAATTTCTCCTCTCATGGTTGGCATCTTTAGCAGTGAGTTTTGGAGGAGAGAGGGCTGTTGAAGTGATTGTTCTAAAAATATTATTTATTTATTTATTTATTTATTTTGATTTGATTTATATGCCGCCCTTCTCCGGAGACTCAGGGCGGCTTACAATGCGTTAAGCAATAGCCTTCATTCTTTTGTATATTTTATACAAAGTCAGCTTATTGCCCCCACAAACTGGGTCCTCATTTCACCTACCTTAGAAAGGATGGAAGGCTGAGTCAACCTTGAGCCTTGGAGAGATTCGAACCAGCAGAAATTGCAGGCAGCTGTGTTAATAACAGGGTGCACTAAACCACTGTACTATCAAGGCTCTTGATTATATCACCAGAGGTAGCTGTAGATTTTACATGGAAGGCCAGAAGCAAGAGAATCATCACGGCCACCATCATTATCCTTGATTATGCAGTGGCTGTGAACATGAAGCCAGAAATACATGAAAGGTGCTTTCATCCTCACAAAATAGCAAGTTTTATAAGCAAAGGTCGATTTCAATTACGTGCCTACATCTAACTATTTTCTGTTAGGCGACGCATACAGAATATGTGAGATAAGATAGATGACTTGGAATTATCTATAGGGGGTTTTTCTGGTACTGTTTATTATTGCATTATTCCCCCGCGATAGTGCATCTTCATGTAGCTTGTTTTCAGAAGATCTGTCGTCGTCCCCGTCCCCCCTGGTTAAATCTAAGAAATGCTGACATTCTTAACAGACAACAAACTTAATTCCAACCAGGAATCATTCTATCAGCTGATCCACACTTTTTGCCTGACCCATTGCCAGTAAGGGGCCACTCATGGTTTCCTGAATACACAAACAGATGATGTCATTTTTCTCCCAAACCCAGTCCAATGTAAATGCATCCCATGGTTGGGTTTCCCAGCTTCCATTGAAAAATGCTGTTTTCTGACCCAAGACATCTTACGCCCTTCAAAATAGATGGCCTACAGCTCTTTGTCCTGTGGCCCTCCCAAGCTCCATTTTCGCTGGCAGAGGCACCACGGGCTGGTCCTTCACTGTTTCCAGGGCAGCCCTGTGGGCCAGATCTAAGCAACCCGCAGGACGGAGTTTGACACCCCTGCTGTAAGAGATAACAGTCTCACAGCTAGTACTTATTCTATTATAAATAAAATTGTCACTGTTAAAGGGGACTAATCAATGTTTATATGATGTGTGCACAATATGCAGATCTTTAGTATAAATGCAAGTACATATTCATTGTACAGTAAACATTAAGAAAAGATGCTGGACTAGGATCAGGGAGGCCTGGGTCCAAATCCTGCTTAAAGCACAAAGCCAGTTGGGTGATTTGGGCCAGTCACTATCTTCTCTGAGCTACATCTCAAGAAGAACCATTCTGTGTTACAAAGACGTCCTGCTCCCTTTTGGATGCTGAGTAGAATAGACTGTACAACTTAACTACAATCTAAACTCTGTATTAACTATGTTTTTCTAGTCCCATTTTAGGCATATAGCCAGCTATCTTTGGGCCAGTCATTCAATCCTAGAAGAAGAAGGCAAGGACAAATCACTTTGACAGTCTTTGCAAGAAAACTGCAGAAATTATTTCAGACGATCACCAGGAGTCGATATGTGTACACATACACACCAACTCATTAGTCTAACCCACCTAAAAACATAGCTGTGCATCCAAAAGCACCTAAAATATATTGCAATTGCTAGTATTACTACTTGTATTACTACCATAATTTAAATATGGATAAAACACAATTAATTTCAACATTTAGATATGTTTGGGAATAACATTTAATCTCATGGTGATTAAAAGAATCCCATTATTTCAAGCAACTCCCAGTATAATGATCAATGATATGCATAGAAAAATGTTTAATTTTTATATAACGGGCTTTTGGGTAATTAGCACCATTATATCATTGAAAACTGACCAGAATTTTGTTTCTATCTTTCTTTTCCAGTTCAAAAAGAGATTGTTCATTTCCATTCTGATTTAGATGTTGAAGTTGAAGATGTCACTGACCATTACAATATTAATACTTTTCTCCAGCCATTATCAGTGAAAGATATATTAGAAAAGGCAGGGACTGGATCCCCTTTTGTTGTTGCCATAATTGAAGACTCCATTAGAAACAAGCATTCTTATAATTTCCTGTGTCCTGGCAGAGAAATAGTAATTTACAAAAAGTATCAGGCTGGAAGAATCTTAGCATCTGAAATCAAGAATACTTCCTCTAAAAGATACTTTTTAATTCCTGAGAGCTACAAAGGGAAATTCAAAAGAAAACCTCGCGAATTCCCAACTGCCTATGACCTGGAAATAGCAAGGAACATGAAGGAAAAGCTTCATGTTATAGCTACCAAAGCTTTTGACTGTCCGCATGAAGAGATGTGCTCGGTTTCTGTTGGAGATGAGTTTTTGATTCCCAGATACCAGAAAGTTGTTGAATATGAAAGGAAGTGTGTGAAGACTGCATTACCTTGTGAACAAATTATCTTGCCAGATAAAGTCAATAAGGCCATCCTTCTTCCAATGTTCATGGAAGGAGGCTTCAACGAAGTGGTGCATGATAGGAATCAATATGATATTTCGGAGCTTTGCAACAATTTCCACCTTCCGTTAAATGTCACAGTTGGCATAAGGGATCTTTCCACCCAGGAGGATATTTTGGCTGGCATTCCCTATCTGCAGCTTGAAGAGGAAATCAATGATTCTTACTTGTTAATCAGCAATTTCAATAATCCCAAAGAAATTTGGGAAGTTTCTGTACACTGTTTAAATATGTCCTTTCAATTGCTGAGAGAATATCCAGATGATACTGTGCGTTTCCCAATAAAGTCAATTGTAGAAGAGATTACCGAAGACCAGTACTATATGATGAGAAAATATAAAAATCAAGCCACAATCCCTCCACCCAGACCTCCTAAAATACACATTGTAGAAGAATCCAAATAATATTTTCCCGTTATTCCGGTTCACCATCTTTTTGATACACCAGAAGATGACAAGATAGAGGACACATAGAAAGATGCTAGTTATAAAACAAAAACCCAGCTTCTCATTTTATTACATGTCTAGTTATTATTATTGTTCCAAAAACCATTTAGTTCCACATTTGTGTGTTCCAGACTGTTGGTGGTTTTCATCACACCCTGATTCCTTTATAATTCTTTGTATTTATTTATTGCATTTATACCTGCTGCAATTACAAGACTCTTGTCATTAATTCACCTTGGTTTCCCCACTGGGTTGATATGTGTGTTATTTTTATTTATCGTATGGCAATGTTACATTAGCCAGGAGACAACAATGCTAATAAGAACAATAGTTTGACTGCCTAAGACTGCTAAACCTGTTGGTTCGTGCTCGCACACTTTCCAAGTGTGTCAGAGGGAGCAATCTAGCTCTGTATCAGAAAGAAAAACAAGAAACTTTCCTGCAATATCATCTGGCTCCTCTCCCTCCAGAAAACTCCCTCACAAACAGGCATTGCAACTGGGAAGGTCCAGCATCAGCAGGATTCTAATCATCCACATGAAGCACTAGCTTGTCTCCCTACCAAAGTTTTTTATATAATATGCTCTCGAACTGCTAGGTGGGCAGAATTGCATGGGAGTCCACCTTGCCATGCAATAGTAGGACTCGAACCGCTGGACCAGGGATGTCAAACTCAAGGCCTGCGGGCTGGATCTGGTTCACAGGGTGCTTAAATGTATCTGCTCCCTGGGACCGGCTTGAAAATAGCAAAGGAGCATCCTGCGGTGCCTCTGGCAGTCAAAATGGGGCCTAGGGAGGCCTCATGTGCCCCCCATGCCCCATTTTTGACCTGGATGGCCTCCTTTAGCACTCTACTGGCCAAAATCATTAAGCCACTGAAGCACTGCACCTCTATATATGTTGTGATTATGGGAGGATCATTACAACAAACCATTCAACCTGGCATAAAATATAGATTTATATTTTGAGATGTTTTCCTTTATTTATATTTTTTCTCTCTCCATGACTAATTACTGAAGCTCATTTTATTTTTCAGAAAAATAAGGGAGAAGGTGAAGATGTCATTCTTTATTGTTTATATGTTAGTTTGCCTGATCACACAGAATTTTTGGCATGCAAAATCGTATTTCTCTTTATACTGCGCAGACAGCACATTCAGAAATAGCAGAGTCCAAGGATAGTTGTATCATATAATTTGTAATATGTAGTAAGGTTTCAATGGAAGAATATATATAATATACTTAATTTCTCTTTGTCATAAATGATCCGTAGAATTAGCCAAGGTAATTACCAGAAGAAGATATAAATAATTGTTTCCATCAGCTTCAAAAAATGGTTGTTTGGTTAGTTAGTTAGTTAGTTAGTTAGTTAGTTAGTTAGTTAGTTAGTTAGTTAGTTAGTTGTCATCAAACCAGGTTGGATTTTGTGGATGCTCGTCTTTTTGCCCTGTCTTTGGTAGTAACATTTCAGTAATCTATTTGATTTTGTCCATTCACATTATTCATTGACTGTTTTTTCTTTCACTTTCCCTAATTCCTGACAAGAGTACACATCTTTTTCCCAAGACCGTCATCTTCTCACATGTGTAAGTAGGGAAATTTCTGCTTGCTGATCACGGCTTTAAGTGAGCAGCCAGCCTTTATTTGATCCAAAATCGATTACTGCTGGTTCTTGCACTTCATGAGTAAATATCTCCAAGACTCTAACTGGAGGCATCCATCTTCTTTCTCCTGCTCTTTCTCAGGGTCCAACTTTCACAGTGTCTATTACCACTGGAAGACTATGGCTTTAATTATTCTGATGTTTTTGTCACTGAAAATTCTTTATCCTTCCTGTTCTTACCTAAAATTGTCATTGCTGTATTCCCAAAGATTAATGTGCTATTTATTTCTGCAACACACTCCCATCTTTATCTATTTTGAAGCCAAAGACAACAAAATTATCTACATTTCATTGTCAAATATGAGTTTACTAAGCATACTGTTAACACTGTGTTCTTCTTCATAATATTTAACATTAAATTGAATTATTTTCCACTTTACATTATTTATTTCACAATAAATATCTTCTATACTTTCAGCTAACAAAGTGAAGGTTCCTACATATCTGATTTTGTTAGTCTAATTTTGATTCACGCTGTCATCTCTTCCAATCATCTCAATCTTCTGTATCCACTATGTTAGTTTTTAAAAGTATGAGAATAATATATTCACTCCCTTTCCTATTTTGAAATAATTTTATTAAAGTTTGCAAATACAAAGGTAAAAGAGTAATATAAATTGAAAAAAATATAAACAGTGAAGTGACGAAAAGAGAAGTGCAAAGGGATAGAAAAAAAGATAAAGAAAATAAAAAAATAAGGAAAAAAGATATATAAAAGATTATTCCCCTTCTGTCCAGATAAATGTAAACAACTTCAATAATTTAACACCTTCTTTATATTTCAGTGTTTTAAAATCTCTTCTTCCCATATCATATTCCTTATCAATAATCAGATTGTAAAAACTCATAATGGAGTTCTAATCAGCAAAAGTCTATTAAGAATAAAAAAATGTAACTTATTTATTTTAACTTGAATCAAAGAAATCAATTTTGTATTCCAATTTATCACTTCTCTATAAAATAAAGCAAAATAAATCTCTTCTCATTTATTAACAGATATTTGAAATCTTGTTACTCAGTTCTGATCAAAATGAAATTCCATTAATAGTTACCATAAACTGTTGCCAGAAATGATATTTCAAATAAATGTTCAAAAAAGTTCACCATACATTCCTTATGTTTACTTTTAAAAAGTTTGATCTTTAGTCCCATGAAATAATGTCCCACAAACTAATTATTTATTTTCTTTTTGTTTCCTTTTAGGAACAATTTTAGTAGTAATACATCCCTTTTGTAAATCTAAAATAAAAGAAGTTTCCAAATAATTCTTCTGATTTATTTTCATCCCCTTTAGTTATTAAACTATCAGTCAGTTTCAAATGTAAATCTATTGTAGCATCCATTTCACTTTTGTAATCTGTCATTTTAAATCCGTTTTCTAATCCACAACATTTTTTCAATATTACTCTTGTAGCATGGGATTTCTTTAAAAAACAAACAAATCCAAATCCACATTCAAACCACTCAGTTAATGTTTTATCCAATAAAATCAGTTCTTCTTTTATATCCTGTTATATCCACTTTTATCGTATCAGACAATCTCACAAATAATTTCTGAGTACACTGTTTCCAAACAGCCTTACTTTCTTCTAGAATCACAGTATTGCTCTATTGCAGTGATGGCTAACCTTTTTGCCGTCACGTGCCAAAAGCGGGGGGAGCACAGGAAGGTCGCACGTGCCCACACCCATAATTCAATGCGCCCCGCCCCCCATGTGCCCGCAACCCCCGCACTCCCCCCACTTTTGGCACGTGATGGCACAGTGGGTCCAGTGGGCCCATTTTTCACCCTCCCCAGGCTCCAGAGGCTTTCTTGGAGCCTGGGGAGGGTGAAAATGGCATTCTCCACCCCCCCGGGAGGCCCTGTGGAGGCCAGAAACGGCCCGTTTCCCAACTTCCAGTAGGCCTGGAAGGCCCGAAAATCAGATGGCCGGCATCAGATGTATGCGTGCTGTAGCTGAGCTAGGGCAATGCTCGCGTGCCCACAGATATGGCTCTGCGTGCCACCTGTGGCACGCATGCCATAGATTCGCCATCACGGCTCTATTGTATTTCACCTTTAATTGCAATCTTTACTTTTCTCTAGTTCACTTTAGTCAATCTTTAAAGGCTCCTCTTATATTTTTTATTTTTTAATAAAACTTTCCCATGGGAGGATTTATAATAGTTAATTTCAAAACCTTCATATCTTTTTTCTAAAATGTTAAACATCCCACAGGAAATATTCCTTCAAGTTTGTCTAACCCCTTAACTTTCCAAAATCCACATTCTAATCCCCCTTTTGTTGTTTTCCAAAAATTAAAATTCTTACACAGCTTCTCTAATGGGATGATGGATTGTTATGGTAATGATAAGGGAGCACTTAGTGTGGGTTGTTTTTTGATAGACTTATATTTCTAACTGCCATCATTTCCTCTGCAGAGGAGGATCTCCAGGAAGGGGAAATGTCTTGTTGTTTTTTCTTCTTCCCTTCTGAATGCTGTTCCTTTAAAAATGTTGTTGGTTGCATGTGTCTTTTTTAGTTGTTCCTTTTTTATTATGATAAAGATTTCCTCTACATATCAGATCCATGCTACCTACATACAGGATTTACCCTAGCCAAATACATTAAGATTATAATACCCAGAATCATGGACATCAACCTCTGTCTTACTACCTACTTTCAGTGTGATGGACAAATGAACCAAGAAATCAGAGGCACATCCATGGGATCACTATTGTCAGGACTCCTAGCAGAAACCATAATACAACATCTAGAATGCATAGTACTCCCATATAAGCAATCAGAGCTATGGATATGGTACTATCTCAAACTCCAGGGACATAGAAGGCTGGTTGAAGTTCCCTAGAACCATACGCCTGGGAACTCCATCAACAACCCCAACACAAAATCTAGGAATATAGGTAGGACATATAGGTCTTCTGTGCCTATCAGAGAAGAAAGTACATGAACAGCAATCTGCACTGATTCCTACACCACCAAAAAGGTTGTCATATCCAGTGATGTCTGGGCAGGGTCCCTAGAGGCCACCGGACTCATGAATAACAAAAACCACACCTTGTCCTGGAGTTGTTCTGATGACATCCTTAAAACCCAGGAAGGTAATTTTATAGAGGGTAACCTCCATGCACCCTTCAGGTCTTGGTGATACAGACTAGGTTAGCCTTCTCCTCCTCAATCAAATGGTGGAGAAAGTGAGGTTTATTGCATGTCAAGATAACATTAAGTAGCAGGCTAATCAGAGTCCAGAACCATCAAAACCCTAGAAACCCAGGTGATGAACTCCTCAAAAGGAGAAAGCAGAAAAGTTAAACGAACAAAAGGTAATTAAATTCATGAAAAAAAGTATGAACCAGGTAAAAGCAAGAATGGTTTACAAGGATAGTAACTTATGGAAAGATAATGCAAAGTATTGGGATAAACTCGGGATAAAGAGATATATAGAAGAGAGAGAGATGTTGATGATGATATAAGATGGATGGAAGGATAGATAGATAGATAGATAGATAGATAGATAGATAGATAGATAGATGATAGATAGATGATAGATAGATAGATAGATAGATGATGTGAGAGA